ATGGATGGGCGCATTTTAATTAAGTGCTTTTGGACTGATGCATGCAACACCCGCTGAGTGCCAAAAAAGAAAATTTTTAATATAACTCTGACTGGATTCGTCTGAAAGAAGAAAGTCATATACACCTAGGATGACTTGAGGGTGAGTAATTTATGGGCTAATTTTCATTTTTGGGTGAACTAAGGGATTATAATGAATGCATAATGCATTATATATATATAAAAAACATATACACAAGTGACGACAGTGTTGGACGAGAGAGGACCAGGCCTGGACTTTATTTTGTGTTTTGGTTTTGTTTGTGCGCGACAGTCGTCCGCGAGGGGCTGTCGCGCTATTTTTTGTTTGTTTATTTTATTAAAGTTTTCTTTAAATGTTCGCCGGTTCCCGCCTCCTTCTTCCCGACCTACGAACTATGTTACAGTAATACTCACGCATTTGTGGTTATAACTTTTAAGAGTATGATTATTTCTAACACACAATTAATACCATATTAAATCCACTTAGTTTATAATGGATTATCTCATATCATTACATTGTTTATTTAAGATCTGCACAGTATCTTGTGAGAGGTTAGGAGTGTTTGAGCGTTTTTGAGTGTTTCCTGTGAGGTTAATGTCAATTTTGCTGTGAGCTAGTTAAATGAAAACTGCTGTGAGCTTGCAATGTGCAAAAAAATTGCAATGTGTTTTTTTTTATTTTTTTATATTACATTACATTTTATTTTGATGGTCCCCTTAGTCTATTAACTATAAGCAACTTTGCAACTACATGACAACTAACTCTCATTTAGAGTATTAGTAGACCTATAGGTTAAAGGGTTAGGAATACCCTTACAATGTATTATAAATACAGGCTTCATAGAAATGGTTACCCAACTTACTAACAACACTAAAATAACAAGGAAATTCTTAAAGATACGAAAAAGTATTCAGAATGCTAACTTCTGTGATGTGACATATTGTGCTTGTCCTGGCTCACATGGTCAGAGGAAGCGTCACATAAGCCAAGCTTAGTGACAGCGCCACCTACTGGTCATCTTCTGGACAAAAGCGTTTTTGTATTTTAGTACTAAAGGCATTTTCTTCATAATTCAAAAAGCAATATGCAGTTATGCCATCACAATCAATTAAGCTCTGGACTCATAACTACAGGTTATAAATTCAAATCCCACATGGAGTGATCTTGAGACTGTTGCTCTGTTGAGATTGACTATGTCTGGCATTGCATTTAATGGAATGTAGCCTGTGCTTGGTCCTGTAATTGTTGCGTACAACTACATTGTTTTTCAACTTCTGCACAGCTTTGGAAGCTTTAGAGGTGGAGAAAGTTATTAAATTTTGATACGATTTTTTATATTTTATTTATTTTTTACATAATGTACGCTGATAAATATTGCAAAATAAGACAGAGGGTATTTATAATAATAAATAAGCTCAATGTTGATATCATGATGATATCAATTAACAATTAACTGCCTGGCCTCACACAATTATTCCAATTTAAAGGGTTATTGATGTCCAATTTTTAAATAAAATTATTTTTAATGCAGTGTATTAAAGACACGAAAGGCTGGATGACCAGTCATTTTATTAGTCATTGGACCAAAATGCTAGTCCACCCTTTATAATTAAATATCTAAGTGTTATCTTAGAGAGCAATTTTTTTAATCATTTTTTATGATTTTTTTGCAAAATCATATTTTCCACGTTACCAAAACAGCCTTCTTCCACCTTTGAAACAATCACAAGTTATGGAACATGTTATCTCTTTTTGATGCAGAAAAGCTACTTCAATGACCTCAAGACTACATTATTGTAGTGCACTGCAAAGTGTCTGCCCTGCTTCCATAAACAAGCTACAGTTGATTCAAAATGCAGCTCCTAGTGTTCTTGCCAGGTTAAGAAAATATTATCTTATCACACCAATTTTATCGTCTCTAGACTGGCTACCTCTCAAGTTCCGCTTTAACATTAAAATATTGCTACTTATGAAGCCCTATACTGCCAAGCTCCTTTGTATTTAATCAATCTTCTGTCTCATGACAATCCATCATGCTCTTTAAGGTCACAGAACTCTAGGTTATCAAAGTCTGATATAGAGGCTTTTTTACATTTGGCTCCTAAACTCTGGAACAGCCTTCTATGGCGTTATTTTAATGACAAACGTCAAGAGCGCATTATTGTAGTGCGAAAGCACATAAATATAATGCGCGAGCGCGAATCTCTCCGCTCATTTCCTTTGCTCTCGCAAAAAAACCGGAAGCGCGCGCTCAGATACACGCTGCTCTCGCCCAGAGAGAGTTGCATCAATATACATGTTTGCCATTGTCTGACCCTCACCTGTTTTGACCACGTCCTTAAATAAAGCTTGCAAATTGATCCGCGTGTCTCACGTCTTGTTTGCCCCCTAACAGAAATTCCCTTGTATTTTCCATGTCCACTTAAACCCTAAAAAGAGCTGTATGAACATTCAAAATGTACCCTTTTGTGTTCAAAAACATAGTAGCATACCTAGCGCTAGATTTACTAAACAAGGCAACTTAGCGTGAGACCACAATCCCATAAAAGCACTGATGGGAGTGGGGAAGTTCTGCCAAAATCCCCCCAAAAAATGTTAATTGACTACCGCAAATTTTAGTAAATCTCTATACATACTTCAATTAAATAGTCTCCTCACATCAATTTTCCTACAACTGCATATGCAATAAGGTCAGCAACAAAAATGACTTTTCATCACTAATTTTTCACTGCATGTCTTTAGTAAACCCTGACAGTAGTTTTTTACTGCCAAAAGAGGGTTTGCGCTGGTGCAAGCTGTTAGTAAATCTGGCTCTTAGATGTGTATACACTGAAGCCTGCACTCTAAAGCTTCTGGCATCACATGCTGATATGTGTGTGAGCTCCTGTAGAGTTTTTGCCGGCGGCTGGAGCAGCAGCGGCACTGACACAGTACAAGTGAACATCATTGAGGATGGTGCTCTTCTGGGAGTTGAATGACTGGAGAGGACAGAGAGAATCTAACCAGACTAATAACTGACTTCTGCTGCTCAGTGCCTCAGCAATACAAGGAAAAAACACTGTGTGTGTGCTATTCGAAACAATTGCTTTTGCATCATGTTTAAGAACTGGATAATTTATGACATGCCATCAAAATACCTATGGAGTAGTATAGATAGATGGATAGGTATATAGATTGGCTCTAAAGACTACAGCTGATCTATTAGAGGAATGGCCGTTATTAAGTGCAAACTGAAGATCTGTCTTTGTATTTCTTTATCTAAGGCTGTTAGTGATCGAAACCTAATTAGAACTGTCTACAGTACTTTAAGTCATTGAACTGCAATCCACAGCATTTTAGTAGCAGCTGGGGGTTTGTGTGTTACAGTTTCAATTCTGTGTAGCCATAATGCTCTGTGTAGCCATACCACTAACATAGGCTTGTACACCATTTGGCATTACAGTGCTTGCAATGCAATACTGTTTTGAAATTCTTTAGCATTTCTTCTTTTTCTTACATCATTTTCTGCAATTAATTCAGCCTAAACCACTTGAACAAAATTGACTTATAAAATTGGGATCAGGTAAATAAATAAATAAATTATCTGTTTTGCCCACCAACCTAATTTGCTGGTAAATGGCTAATTTTACCAGCAATTGGTAACCTATTTGGATTTATGAAAATAAATATCAAAATAATGTGCACCTTCAGACCATTTTCCAAACCACACCATAGTTTTAAAGCAAACTACACACAAGAAGACCTCCTGATGTGGCTAATTTGGTTTATTCACATCATTTTTTTTTCTTTGTCTGAAAAGCTCTTGCACCATGTTCATCAGTGGTTGTGCTATTCTAACATGCAGCTTTGACAGCTTTTGTTCTGTCTGTTCATCAAGATGTAATAAAATGTGTTTCTTCAAGCATGTCTGTTGCTAAACATTAAAACCCATTATAAACGAGGCATTTGTTGCATCCAGTGGGGACATAATTACGGATTATAATGACTTATACTGTCTTTTTACGCGTTGCATTGCATTGCGCCGTGTAAACATAAAACCATGTCTGCATTTGTGATCGGAGAAATGACAAACAACAAGTGCTACGCTACACTGCCCAAAACTCGCGTTTGAATCGTCAGTGGCAAATTCTTTAAATATAAAAAACGTACTTACAGTCTGTGAGTCAGAACACAAACATTGTAGTCTACTCTATCAGGATCAGTCCTCCATAAAATGCGCTGGACACATCTGAATATTTGTGTTGAAGTGTTCTGCAACAGTGTTGTAAATACAACTTAACCACTGATTTCTAGTCGTGTCCTCTTTTGGAAGACCAAACAAAGTAGTTTCACTTTCACAACGAAAAACACAGCGGCCTACGACATGGCGGCAGCAACAATACTACAGCGAGAATAAAAGTTACGCTTTCTTTCTTTGCGTGAACATTTGGGCGGCTTTATGCAAATCTTCCCACATCGTGATGTAGGTATGTGGGGGCGTGTTAGAACGAGCCGTTCTAGGTAGGCGTGGTTGACTCTTAACTTTTATAAAGAATATCTCTTTGGATTTGAGACTTTAGTCTTTGCTAATTTACAGATCTTCTTTATGCACCAAGAGCTTGTAACACTCCAAAGAGAAAGGAAAAATTTAAATCGCATCATATGACCCCTTTAAGATTAAAATTTGGAAATCACCTTTTGACTTTAAGTCATACAATTTTCACCAGTATCAGCTTATGCTCATCTCTCTGTCTCATTCTGGCAGCGTACTTTCCTTTCTGGATTATTTTAGCAAAAACACTATTCTTTTGCTGCTTTGTAAGCGTTTGTATTTTCTTAAGGAAATGCAAATGTAGTTTTTATTAATATCAGTATCCAGGCCTAGTGATGCCCCTCAAGAGAATCTGAATATATACAGGGAGTGGTAAAAAGAGATCCAGGGAGGAGAATGGAGCAGAACAGATGGCTGTGAAAAAGAGGAGCAGGAGGATGGGCGAGCGACATCTCACCCCTCACTCGCTCTGGTGACAGCTCCCCTCCTCCACCTCCTCCCTGGTGCAAAGCGAGCTGGGTAATTTTACTCGTGTATGACCCAGCCCCGGGCGGCACTCAGTAATAAGCACGGCACAGAAGCACAGGTAAATAAATCTGTGTGATGAAGCGCTGCACACCACAAGGATGACAAGTACCTCCACTACTGGCTCCAAACAGCATTTCAATATCTATATCTGCCACAGTGTGCGGTTCAAATGAAGATGTTCATTTTGGGATCTAACAACAAAATGACAGAGTGGAAAAAGACTCAAGGCAGTTTAACGCAGGCTGAAAGCAGCAAAACGTCCCAAGAGTAATGCCACTAAGTATTTCTAACAATAAAACCAGGATGCTGGTGAACTGTTTAACAAAGATCTTGTATATATATATATATATATATATAAAATAATCAAGGCAAACTGCTCTGCGCTCCCACCCTCCCCCAACAATCAAACAATGCAAAAATGCTTCAGGACACATTGAACATAGTCCTCTGTGTAAATGAGAGAATAACAGCATCTTAGGAAACGAAACACTCTGGACAACACAACAGACCTTCATATTCAAGGACGCTTCTGCTTGCCAGGGTACCTGGGGTTTGGTGGAGGCTGGGGACAGTGTTGGGGGATGCTCGTTGATTGCCGTGGTTACCAAAATGGGGAAGAGACGGGAGGGAGCTTCAGTGAGTGGGGCATTGTCGTGATTGGACGGGGAGGTGAAAAAATCATCCTCAAATGCATTCATATCCTTCAACAAGGAGCCTAATTCAGGTTCAGGGTCATAGAGATCCCCTATGAGAAAAAGAGAGAGAAACTATGGTTGGTCTTTAATCAAATTAGAATTCGTAGTTTAGACCTGGCAAACATCTCATATGGCTACTTATAGACACAGAATCAAACCCAATGTTACTCTACCCCATAGGCTTATTGAACATCTCAGGGCTTTATTGTTAAATATATTTAATTCTATACAGTGAAAAAGTTTTTTTTATATATTTTTTTATATAAGTCTCTTATGCTTGCCAATTAAGGCTGCATGTATTTGATCAAAATACAGTAAAAACAACAAAACCGTGAAATATTATTACAATTTAAAATAACTGTTGTCTTTTACATATATTTTAAAATGTGTCATTTTTTTCATTTATTCCTGCAGCAAAGCTGAATTTTCAGCATCATTACTCCAGTCTTCAGTGCCACATGACCCTTCAAAAATCATTCTAATATGTTGATTTGCTGCTCAAGAAACATTTCTGATTATTATCAATGTTGAAAACAGTTGTGGTGCTTAATATTTTTGAGAAAGCTGTGATGACACTATCATTGAAACTATTATGTTACAATGTTAGATTTCTATTTCAAATAAATGCTGTTCTTTTTTTTTTTTTTACTTTCTATTAATCATTAATCACATTAATCAAATTAAGACTGATTTCCAGTAGTGGAACAAGTAGTGTATGTAGTTCTTGTTATTTGAACGTGGCTTGAAGCTGGATGTGTGCTTAGCTGGATACATTTGAAATAATATTCTATATCTACCTGCCAGTGAGCAGGGAAAGTTTGGATTTGTCACTCTGCCAATACAGACTTCACCCCAAAAATAACAATTCTGTCAACATGTACTTCAAACTATAGTTTCTTTCTTCTGTGGAACACAAATGAGACATTTTGAAGAATCTCTGCTCTTTAAATAGTCATAGATTATTGTGAAAAGGTGCTGCCAAGTTCCAAAAAGCACCATGAAAGTAGTTTTAGGTGCTATATTACCACTTAAGTGTGTAATTACATGTCGCCTGTCATTCCTGTGGATAACAACTTTTTGGCCATTCTCTCATATAGCTTCAGCTGACTTTAAATGTAGTACACAAGCATTGACTAACTGACAGTCATTGGTTACTATAAGCTTTCAATGTATGGAAAAAAGCAGAGATTGAAAAATAGGTCTGTACAAGCAATTTAAATAAAATGACTTGGCTTAGTGCAATTAATAAAAGAAAGGCTGTGATTTAGTGCATTTTTCAGAGTGAAGCATGGCACTGTGTTCATTTACATTTACATAATTGCTCAAATAAAATAAAAAAACATAAATTTTAGCATTTTATCAGATTACTAACGAGAATTGTTTATAAAAATGTTGTCAACTAAAAAGACTTAAAAGACTACCTGTAGTTTTTCACCAAATGTAAAGCATACAGGTTTAACTTTTTAATTTTTTTGTGATAACTAGGGTTGCCAACTGTCCCGTATTAGTCGGGACATCCCGTATATCTTTATTTCATGCTTTTGTGACGTGACATGTGACATGCGGCCCAGTATGGTTACCCATACTAGGAATTAGTGCTCTGCATTTATCCCATCCTAAGTGCACACACACAGCAGTGAACACACACACAACGTGAACACACACCCGGAGCAGTGGGCAGCCATTTTATGTTGCGGCGCCCGGGGAGCAGTTGAGGGTTCGGTGCCTTGCTCAAAGGCACCTCAGTCGTGGTACTGAAGGTGGAAGAGAGCGCTGTACATTCACTCCCCCCACCTACAATTCCTGCCGGACCTGAGACTCGAACTCGCAACCTTTGGGTTATGAGTTCGACTCTCTAACCATTAGGCCACGACTTCCCCATATTGGGCCTAATTGATTTGTCCCTGACCTCCCTTGTCCCGTTGATTGACTGCTATGCTGATCACGACACCTGTCATCATCCAGCCATCACAGCCCCCTCGCACATATGATCAGTATGCAATAAGTAAATCACAAATTGTGAACATAACTGTATGAGGAAGGCTTAAGACAAAGCAGAATCCTCTGCCGGCTGGTCGCTCTCGCTTCACCGTCACCGTCAGTGTTTTTTTGTTTTCAGCAAATCCGTTTTGCCGGATGCAAACAACGTGATTATTTTTCATGACTCCAACATCCAGCCGTGCAAGAAAACATGTAGGCTAATCTACCTGAGGGAAGATGTAATGCTAAATAGAGAAAAACATTTTACATTTAAGTAACTTCTAGCGTATGCTTTACCTTGGACCTTATTCTTGAAACACAAAATGACAAATAAAAAAGTGTCAAGCACCAAAAGCAGCCCATATTAAATCTATGTTTTTTATATATATATATATATATGTGTGTATATATA